AAAATAGATGATGTAAATATGGAATATAGCGTTCAGTTGACATTTCGAGAAAGTTGGGTGGATGGACGATTAGCATTTGGATATCCGCGTGATAATACACCTGATTTTGTTATTCTTACAGCCGGTCAACAAATTTGGATGCCTGATTCATTTTTTCAGGTTTTATTAAAGCTAATATTTAAATTAATAATTTTGGTCAAAAAAATGAGCAAATCATTTATTACTGCAAAATTTTTTACATCATTAATAATTAATAAAGCAAATTTTTGTTTAAAATATAAAATATTAGTAAAAATAACAATGTGTAATATTGTTTGTAATTTATTTGTTTAATGAAAGTATTTGAAACGGGTGCAAAAAATTGTAACTGAATTTGATGATGAATTAAAATTTTTTAATTTGTTTCTTGAAGAAGATAAAAAGTTTAATTTTAGAATGAAAAGCATGCTCAACGTCATATGATTGATAAGCCGAATGTTCTTATTCGTGTACATAAAGATGGTACCATATTGTATAGTGTTAGGATATCACTTGTACTATCGTGTCCAATGCATTTACAGGTTATATTTTAAGATTATTTCATTCTGGAAAAATTTTTTTTTTTTTGATTTTTTAAAAATCATATTTTGAATAATTCATTTAGTGTTTATTCATTCTTTTTTCAATTCTTTTTTATTTGAATTTCATGATTGTAAAATGAATGATTTCGAAAAAAATCAGAAAGTTTTCATTTTTTTTTTCTTTTTTTATGTGCTAAAATTTTGATGTCTTTTTTTTGTTTTTCAAAAATTATGGCAATATATTTCTCACACTCAATAATAAAGAAATGTGAAAATTTTTGTGCAAACAGTTTTTTTTTTCTCTTTCCCCTTGTGTACGCAATAATTCAACAAAATGATACACCAAAAGTTTGGGAGAATGCAAAATATTCAAAAGTTAGCAATTCGAAATTGAGAAAAACTTATACAATTACTTGGTGCATTTGTTTAGAATAAACCGGATCCAGTTAGAAACTGGAAATGTATGAATTAATGTTTAATTAATCTAATCAGCCCTGATTTAAAATGCGTATAAGATGAGTTGAAAATATTGATTATACTATTTATTCTTGAAATTTTTTAATTAATCAATTTTGACAAAATCATTTTTTGTTTTAAAAGCATTTCATTGATGCAAATATTAACTTGGAAATTAAAACTTTGTAATTTTTTAATGAAATTTTAAGTAACATTAATATTAATGATAATACAAATGATTACAGTATTATCCAATGGATATCCAAACATGCCTTATTGATCTTGCCTCTTATGCATATACAACAGATGATATTGGTATGATATTAATTTAAATTTATCATTAAATTAAAGTTAATTAAAACGAAACCAAGTTTTTTTTTTCAAAATTCAATAATCTTTTAATTTTGTACTGATAATTTGCATCATAATTTACATGAATATTTATTTACAAAAAAAAAAAGTTTCTCCTTTTTTCAAATATCTTCAATATTTAATATTTTTCCTTCATAAAAAATGAGAAAGTTTAATTAATTACTAGAAAAATTAATTTTGACAAATTAACACACATATATATAGCTTATACTTTATTGATTACTGAAGTATAGATATATGTATTCCAATTAATTAAAATGATATATTTTATAATTCCTAATTTCATTTAATCAATAGCAAGTGTAATAATAATATTAATTGTGAATACTTTATTTTTTCAAAGATTTTTTTAACATACGAGTATTTGAAGTGTTGAACAAAAATTCAAAAATTAAATTATTTAATTGTTTTGTTTTGTTTTTTCTTCAGAATATGTATGGAAGAGTAAAGATCCAGTTCAATTAAAAGATGGTTTACATTCATCTTTACCAAGTTTTCAACTTAGCAATGTTACAACAACATTTTGTACAAGTAAAACTAACACTGGCACGTACTCATGCTTACGTACCGTATTGGAACTAAAACGACAATTCAGGTTATTTATTATTATTGTTTTAAATTTTAATTTTCAGTTTCTACAAAAAAGAAAATTTTTATTTTCATGTAATTCTATTTGAAAAAAATGCCACTTTTATTTTTACTTTTTTCTTTTTTTATTCGAATTAAATTAAAACTACTAAATAGTTAATTTAATTTGTAAACATTAATGCATTTTAAGGAATTGTTCTTTCAGTATTGGCAAACGTTTAGCTTGCTTGAATTTTTGGTTAATTTAATTTTGTTTTCAAAAAAATAAAAAAGTATTATTTTGAAAAAACATTCCCTTTTCTTACGGAAATTAAGAATTGATGAATTCAGTTTGGCTTAACGTTCATGCATACATGCATATGAATGCACTGGAATTTGACATTTCAAAATTTATTAATTCAATTATATAAAAATAGTAGGATTCATTTATAGCTATTATCTGCTACAATTATATGTGCCGAGTTCGATGCTCGTCATTGTTTCTTGGGTATCATTTTGGTTAGATCGTACCGCAATACCAGCTCGTGTCACATTAGGTGTCACCACTTTGCTCACCATGACCACTCAAGTTTGTTGAACTGTTTAATTTCTGTACAACTTAGCCTAAACTTTTTAATTAGCTACGTTGGGATGTTAATACTATTTTAATATGAATTTGATTAAAAAAATTATATAAATCATCTTTTGGCTTAATCTATTCATTATTTTAGCTATGAATTTAAACATTATTGCACTATTTTTTTCTGAAAAAAATGTTCACATATTATTTTACATGTCTTTTAAAAAATTCATAAAATTTGATCTCTTTATTTAAATGTAATTGCAATAAAAAGTTAAACAAAGCAAGGCTGGCTTAGAAAAATTTTTATGTAATAAATCAATTTTTAAACTTTCAAAATCCTATCATTAATTAATATCATCAAAAATTTTTTCGTTTTTACAGGCTTCTGGGATCAACGCCAAATTGCCACCTGTATCTTATACAAAAGCTATTGATGTATGGATTGGTGGTGAGTAATTAATTAACTTGAAAAATTTTCAAACTCATGCTATCCCAATTAATAATCATGAAATTTTGCTTTGTTAGATTTAATTAACTAAAAAAATTTTGAAAAATTTTTCAAATATATCTCGCAGAGTTTTCTAAAATCAGTTATCATTGATTAAAATATGACTTATATTATCATTCACAATTAATATTATTAATTTATGTAATCATTTACTAATTTACGTGTAGCTAGTAGTGATGTAATGAAAGATTTGGGCAAAGATTTTACGTCAAACTTTACGTGAAATTTGCAGTGATGCAAAATACTTTCCTTTTGTGAGAAATACGTGGAAAAAATAACTTTACGTGAAACTTTCAAAATGTTCCCTTACGGAACATTTCAGAATGTCAAGGATGTCAAATCATCTGCTAAATTATTTCATTCCATCCATGATAGCAATTTCATTCATTCATTCATTATTTTTTCATTTCACCTTTCATTCAAATAATATCTTTCCTAAAAATTCTCTCGCATTTATTCTCACGGAATTATTATTATTTCTCATCCTTCTATCTTTTTTCTCTCTCCTTCTTTCTCTCTCTTTTTTTTTATTTAAAATTTTAATTTTTTGACTGATTATAAGAATTTAAAAAGAATGAATGAAAAAATAATTGCAATTGTTACAGCATGTCTCACTTTTATTTTCGGAGCTTTGTTAGAATTCGCTTGGGTCACATATATGTCATCACGAAATCATAGCAAAAGTTTGTTTATCTTTTCTCTCTCTCTCTCTTTTTTAGTTTAAAACTGTTTAAAAAAAAAAAAAAAAGATTGTATATATTTATTGATTATTTCAATATATCATAAGTGTATGTCTAAAAGTATATGATATTAAAGAAAAAAATTAACATTTCACTTTGTTATTTATCTATTTGATTGTGTTATGTTGTAAGCAAAGTATTTCTATTGTACAAAATGATGGAATTAATTTCATCTTAAGATGTTTTCATATACCATTATGTAATAGTTGTTAAGTATTTAAGTAGCAATATAAATTACATCAGATACTAATAACATACAATAATGATAATAACAACAAGACTGATGATGGTGATAATAGTAATGATTATGATAAAAAATTAAATTAATAATAAAACAATTTTAAAAAATGCAGTGTGAATTTGAATTTTGTACTCAGATTTATGCAAAAAACTCATCACCATCATTAATCACCATAATTGGAAAATTTGTTGCCATCATTAGAAAATTTTCGATTTTTTTAAAATAATTATTTGGACTAAAAAAAAAAAAATTAAATAATGTTGGCTGTGAAATGGAAAAATCACTAATTCATTCAAAGGTATGAAAGGAAATAAAAGGCCGAATTTATTGATGGAACGGTCCAATCAAATGGCAGCAACACAACTTATCATTTTTAATAGAAATGCGGTAAAATATTACTTTCAATCTGTTTGAGATAACAAACAATTGTTTTTGTATTTTTGAAATTCTGTTTTCAGTTTAGTTTCAATAAGAACTTCTTAATTTATAAGCAATCAAATTATTAAATTTATTAAATTTAACAAAATTATGCAATTTCATAGTTTATAGAAAAACAGAAAAAATGTTATTAGCTCGAAAATTTAATTGAGTGAAAAATTTATGACAGCAGCATAATTATTTACATTATATTGCAAATAAAAAAATCTGAGTTCATCCTCTTTCTAATTAATATTCGATAATTAAATATCAATTGCTAGAAATTGAAATTATTAAAATATTAATGAGTAGAAGTTGAAAGTACTATTTAAAAAAGTGAAAATTTATGTTGTTGTAGATGGAATGTGGTGAGATATGGGTGAAACAGAGAAATGATTCAGACGAAGAAAGTAATGAACGATTCAATATGATAAATGGTGATAATCAATGGCGACGAATTAGGCGTAATCGTCATATGCTGAAGGAGTATTATCGGCGATTCAGATTTATTGGTTGGTTAAGAAATAAATTTGATACTACCGATCGTGCCAAACAAGCGGACTATTTATCAAGTTTGCATTTAAAAAAATTTGGAGGAAGAAATTAAAAATTTTTATTTCAAATATAGTTCATTCATATAATTTGCAATTATTTGAATGTTTTATTTATGATGCGTAGTAGGAAAGGAATTTCGGCATGAATAAATAAAAGTTTTGCTAATTCATTAAATAACAAATAAATAATTACCATGTAAGATAAAATATAATGAAATTGCTAAATAATAATAATAT